ATCCGCCTCTATCTTCCTTCACTCTCTCTCTTTCCTTCCACCTCTCACCGAGCGCTCCTCCTTTCATCCTCCCCCGCCGCGTCCACACCTCTCTCATCCTCCTTTCCATCTCATCCTCTCTGTCTCTTCTCTCTCTCATCCTCTATCAGTCCACCACGTCTCCTCCCACCACTCTCCCATCCTCCTGTCTCCCTGTCTCCCTCTCATCATCGCTCCTCAGTCTCCTTCTCTCTCCCCTCTCTTCTCTCTCCTCATCTAAAACTCCCTCATCATCCTGTCTCTGGTCTCTCTTCGCTCCCTTCAAGTCCTCCTCCCTCCCATCCGTCAACGTCTACCTCTTCCCGTCTCTTCCTCTCTTCTTCTGCTTCTCCCCGCTCGTCTCTCTCTCACTCCTCCCCTTCGCGTCTCCCTCGTGTCCTTCCTCTATCCCTCTATCTCCTGTCTCCCCCCCCTCTGTTCTCCCTCCTCTCCCCCTTCGGCTCTCCCTCCGTTCTTACCTATGTCCTCTCCCCTCTCTGTTTCACCCTTCCGTTCCCTTCCCCCTCTCTCACGCCTCCTCGACATCTGTACCATCCTCCTCCTCTCCCTCCTTCCTTCATCCCGTCTCTCATCAAGTTCCTTCTCTCTCTCCTCCTCCTCCCTCTCCCCTGCCTCCTTCCCTGGACGTCTCCCTCCTCCTCCTCCTCTCCCCTTCCTCCTACACGGTCCTCCTCCTCTTGCCTCCTCTCTCCCCCCTCACACCTCTCCCTCCATCCTCCATCCTCCCCTCCCGTCTCCTTCCCTCCTCCCCCCTACACTCTCCTCTCCTCCTCTCCCGTCTCCCCTCCTCTCACCTCCTGCGTCTCATCCTCTTCTCCTCCCACCCCCACGCCTCCTCCTCCTACACTCTCGCCCCTCTCCCGCTCCATCTCTTCCCACGTCCTCCTCTCCCTCGCTCCAGTCCTCCACACCTCTCCTATCCTCCTCTCAAAGTCTCACCTCTCGCCTCCTCCTTGCCCCTCCGTCTCCTCTCCCTCCACCTCTCCTCCTCTCCTCGCCTCCTCTCCATCCTCCCTCTCCTCAGCTCCTCTCCTCCACGGCTCTTCCACGCTCTCCTACTCTCCACCCTTCCATCCTCCACTCCTCCCTTCTTCTGTCGTTTGTCTCTCCCGTCCTCTCCCAAAAATCCTCTCCCTCCCTCCTATCTCTACATCCTCCCCCTCTCTCGTCAGACAGTCCCGTATATCATCTACTTCAAAGTCTCCATCATCTCAATCCACTATGTCTCGTCTCCACCCTCAATTCCTCCTCTACCCGAGCAACAATCGATGTCACGTCCCACAGACCTCTTCTCCTCTCCCTCCCCTCTCCAATATCGCTGTCTCCTTCAATCATCCGCTACTGTCCGACCATCGAACACCGAGCCCCTTGTCGGACCTCCCTCGCCAATACATCTACTCCGCAGAGTGCGTTCCTCAGGCAGGGTCTCCAACATAATCTCTCCACTCAACGGCAAACGATCCGTCTAGAACGGTAAAACACCAACCCCCGACCCTTCCATCCTCGCACTCTCCACGCTCCTCATCCGTCCGGCTCCTCTCCTCTCCTCAATCCGTTTTTCCTCAGCCTCTTCTCGTCTCTTCATCCCCTTCCCCATTCTCTACTTCAGCTCCTCTATGTCTCGTTCTCCTCCCTCCTTCTCATCTCTCCTTCTCTCAATGTCTCCCGGCACCGTCCCGCCCCTGTCATCGTCTCCTAATGTCCATACATCTTGTCTCCTCTCTCTCTCCCTCCCTTCTTCAAGCCCGCCTCTCGCACACCCCCTCCACCCCATCCTCCTATCTCTCCCAATCCTCTTGCGTACCTCTCAAAAAACTGAGCCGCTTCCCGTCCCTTCCGTCCGTCTCTCCGCGAAATCTCCCACCCCACTCGATGGTCTCATTCTCCACGCCCCTCCGACTTCCTTCCTCTCCTCTCATTAGGCTCAACCAATCCTCCACCGCCAGACAATCCGGTAGACAGCAGAGCAGGTGAAGGGCCACCCGATCGACCACTATGTCACCTCCATCACCCGGGTCGGCACCGGCCTTACTCCTCGGTCCTCCTCCGATACCTTCCTCTCCCCTCTCTCCCGACCCGGCGTCTCCTCATTCATCCCGACCATTCACACCATCTCAGAACCAGAAGAACCCCACGCCCTCAAACCACCACTCTCTCTCCACGCTCGCATAACATGTCAGGGACCTCCTCAAATCTCCTCCTAAACTGTCTCCCTCCCTTCTCTCCCCTCCCCTCCCCCTCTCACCTTTCACTGATTCCTTCCGCATCCATCTCGTTCCGCCGTCCCAGTCCCGCGTACGTCACCACCCGTCTGTACCCGCCTATGTCTTCTTCTCTCTCCTCTCTCTCCTAGAATGTCCACTCTCTAAACCGCAACAAACCTCTTCCTCCTCCTTCGTGTCTCATCAAGATCTCTCATCTTCTCCCTCCTACAGGACCCCAATCTCAAAGGTCCGAGCCACTCTCAGCAGATCATCAAACCTCTCGACCTGGGCGTCTCGACTCATCTGCCGCTCTCAGAGGACACCTCACTTCCACCTCTCAACACGCATGATTACCCGCCTACTAACAACTGGACTACCCCCACTCTCCGATACTCTCGAACCCTTCCTTTGCCTTCCCTCTCATCTCTCTCTCTGCTCAACCAGCCCTACCTTCTGGTCTATGTCTCTCCAAACGCTCCCGACCCGCCACCCATCCTCCAAAACCCACTCCTAATCAACTCACACCACACCGTCCCTCCAGCCGTCCACACACGCTTCCCCACACCCCTTTCTCCTCCCCACTCACGCCTGCACCTCCCGATCTCCCAATCTCACTCCGCCCACCCTCCTCTCCCCCTCGCACCGGATCGGCTAGCCCGCGGGTCGTCCGAAACCGCCCCCCCCCAATCCACCACGAAACGTCCACAACCCCCTCTCCCCTCCTCCCCCCCCTAACCACCCATCAGCACTCCATCGTCACCCGACCCGCCTCTTGAAACCGTGTTTCCTTCTCATTCCTCCGCAAAGCCGTATCGAACTCCCAAATCCCTGTACAGACCCTGCCCTCAACGATCCCATACACCACTACTCTCAATCCCTCCCCTCCTCCCACTCATTGTCTCCCACAATTTTATCCTCGACCCCTCCTTCCCCCGTCATCTACATCCGCGTACGCCCCCCACCCAACTCCAACAGATGCTCGCGAGGGCCCTACAGTCACAGGCACTCCAGTTCTCCCAAACAACCCCCTCGACCCCTATCTCCCCTCCGCAGTGTCCAACCCCCTTCAACACCAACCCATTGATCTTCATGTCTCCCCACCTACCCACAATCCCATCGGTACTCACTCCTCCATCTCTCCCCCAACCCCCCTCTCCCCTCTCACTCCCCAAGATACCGCAAGACCCACCCTCTCAATGCTCGCTCATCCCATCGTCTCCGTCCTCTCGCCCGTCCTCCGCTCATCTCTCACATCACACCCCTCCCATCACGCCTCCACGAAATCTCTCATGCATCGTCCTCCCTCATCCCCCTCCCTCTAACTCTCTCCAGTCGCGCGACTCATGCGCCTCCTCTGCCATCTCGCGACGCATCGCCCTTTCCATCCTTCGTTCCTCTCTCTCATCTTCAAATTTCACATTCTCCGATCCAGCATCTACATCTTCCTCTAGCGATCGCCACTCCCCAGTATCCTCATTCCAATCTCTCTCCACTCTCTCCAATCCTATCCTCCATCTCTCGTCCTTTATGTAATCTCACTTTCCCCCCTCAAGAACTCCCTCCACATCAGCTCTCGCTTTATATATAATCCCCTATCATTTTCTCCTTCCCCCCCTCCACTCGTCTCAACACTCCCTTGCCCTCCTTCCTCTCTTTCGCCCCTCTCCCGACTTAGCATGTCGACTACTCTCCTGAGCTAGCAGGTCTCGGCGCCGACGTACCTCCATACTCCATTTAACTCCCAGACTGCGCATATCATGACATATTTCCCCCTCTTTTCCCCCCTCTTTCCCCTCCTCCTCCCATCGAATCCTAATGTCCCCTCCCGATACCCCATGTCCTGCTAAGGCTGCCCTCTCCTCTCCTAATCCTCTCTTTATAAAAAAAAAAATAACCATTTAAAATCTCCACTCTCACCTTATAAAAAAATAAAAATAAAAAATAAAAAAAAAATATTAAAAAAAAAAAAAAAAAAAAAAAAAAAAAAAAAAAGAAAATAAAAAAAAAAAAATAAAAATCCCCCTCCCTTCAAAAAAAAAAAACCCCTTAAAAATAAAAATAAAAATTCAAAAAAAAAAAAAAAAAAAAAAAAAAAAAAAAAAAAAAAAAAAAAAAAAATTTAAAAAAAAAAAAAAAAAAAAAAAAAACTCCTTTAAAAATTAAAAAATAAAAAAAAAAAAAATAAAAAAAAAAAAAAAAATATAATAAAAAAAAAAAAAATAAAATAAAAATATTAAAAAAAAAAATTTAAAAAAAAAAAAAAAAAACAAAAAAAAACTCGCCATCCTTCTTTGCTCTCCTGCCCTCACGCTCTCCTCTCCCTCTGTCTCTCCTTGTCCTGTTTTTTTGTCACTCTTTACGTTTTTCCCTTCTTTTTTTTCTCTTTTATCTTTTGTCTCCTTTTTCTTTCTCCCCTCTCTAATGCTGCCATCTCTCCTCTGTATCTCCTCCTCACTGTCCTCTCGTCTCCCCTCCCGATCCATCTCTGTCTATGTCTCTTTCCTATCCCCCCCCCCCCCCCCATTCCCCCCCTCCCCCTCTCCTCCCTCCCACTCTCCCTGTCACTCTCTCTCTTCTTCCTTTTTTCCCCTCTCCTCCGAACAACCGCCCCCGTCACACTCCCTAAAAAGAAGTGACTCGCTCTCATCTACGGCCAATCAGAGTCTCTCTCTCGACCACCGCCCTCCCCACCCGCATCCCCTTTCCTCATCTTTCATCTTTCTTTCCTTTCCCCTCTCCCTCTTCTCTCCCTCTCCTCCTTTCCCCCCCCTCCTTGTCTCTCTCCCTTCTCTCTCCCCTCCTTCTCCCCCTCTCCTCTCTCCCCCCCCTCTTTCCTTTCTCTCCTTCCCCTTTCTGTTTCTTTCTCCCCCCCTGCTTCCCCCTCCCCCCTTCCTCTGTCTTGTCGCCCCCTCTTCCCTCTCTTCTTCCTCTTTTTTCCCCCCCCCCCCCTTCTTCTCCCTTTTCTCCTTTCCCTTCCCTTCCCCCTATTTTTCTCTCTTTGTTCTTTCCCATCTTTCTTCTCTCCCTTCTTCTCCTCCTCTCCTCCTCCTCTTCTTCCTTCCTTTTTCTTCCCTCCCCCTCTTGCCTCCCTTCCCCCCCCTTTTTCTCTTCCACCCTCTCCCTTTTCCTTTTCTTTCCTCTTTCCATCTCTTTTCTTCTCCCCTCTCTCTCTTCTCTTTCCTCTCTTTCCCCTTCTATCCCCCTCTACCGGCCGGCACCACCCCCCAATTCTCCGACACGTCACCGCCTGAGCAAATTCCTCTGATTCTCTCCGACCACAATCCTCCCCCAATTCCCACGCTCCGTCCATCCTTTTCTCTCACAAGACAGGGGCCCTCCTCCTCCCACAATCTCCTCTCTCTGGCTGGGCTGACCTCTATCTCCCCATCTTCTCTCGGCCGTCTTATGTGTCGTTCATCTCCCTCCCTCAATCCTCTCACTCCATCTTATAATCACCGTCTACGTCATATCTCTCTCTCTCATCCCTCCCCATCTGTCCCCCCCTTTACTCTCTCTCTCTCTCTCTCTCTCTCTCTCTCTCTCTCTCTGTCTCTCTCTCTTCTCTCTCTCTCTGTCTCTCTCTCTCTCTCTCTCTCTCTCTCTCTCTCTCTCTCTCTCTCTCTCTCTCTCTCTCTCTCTCTGACCTCACATTCATTCAGCTTCAGCCCTTTACCTTTAATAGTTTTGCGGTTGAAGATACGTGCATGACCCGGCATCGCTGTCTGTACGAATGGAGACGGTTGCCGTGGGTGATCACATGAATATTGTGCATATTGAAATAGAGAGTTTGAGACAATATTAAATGTAAGGTATTATTTATACTTCTTAAACGTCCCTAAAACCATGTGGGAGATATAACCCCAAAGAGGTAGGTGTCCATTCCAAGCTAGCTTTGGTCGGAACAGGGTCTTTCTGAGTCGAGTTTGCATGTTATACCCGTGTCTGCGGAGGTTTCCTCTGGGTGCTACGGTTTCTCCTACCACTAAAAACATGTATAGGTCTGGCATGTGCCTCCTGGAGACGACCTGCTCCATCTCTGTGTGTAGAGAGAGACAAATGCCCTCAATTGTGAAGTATTCTGTGACTTTGTCCTGAGAAAGGCACTGTATAAATCTTTATCTGTATAATTGGTATCTACTTGAAGTGAGAAAGTCTATTTTGTCTGAATCTTGAACATCGTAAAGTGTAGTATTTCTATATTTAAGATCCTGTTGTTAGTCATTTACACAATTAACGGCATAAAAAGTACAGACATCCATCCTTGTGACATATTTCTATATTTAAGGAGAAAAGTAATGATATTATTTTCATATATCTCTGGTTATAGGCTGCAGCTCGTACACTTTGAGTTCATCTGCGCCGTGACAAAGCCCTGGGCAACAGCTCTTGTTTTTATATTCATGTATGCTCTATTTGTTGGATTTTGACAGTTAAATTGAAAAGAGTAAGATTGCAAAGTTGAAAAAAAAAAGCAGCATAACAGGCTCTTTTCATGAATCTTAATATATAATGCAGCTTTTCTCAGATCATAAATTCAATGAGATTCACAATATGATGTAATTTAAAAGCAACAACAGCAAGTATTCAGCAACACGACTGGAACATACTGTACAAAGAAAACAGAGGATTATTGTAGAAAAAGACAGAGGTTTTGTTTATTGGCTTCCATCACAACATAGATGTCAAAGTCAAGGCCCGGGGGCTAGATCAGGCCCAAGAATGAACTACAGTATCTTGGCCCTCAGGGTAGGTCCAGGGAGTCGAGGGTTTCAGGCTGGGGTCTAGTCCTCAGGTCCAGGGAGTCCAGGGTTTAAGGCTGGGTACTAGACTTCAGGTCCAGGGAGTCCAGGGTTTAAGGCTGGGGACTAGTCCTCGGGTCCAGGGAGTCCAGGGTTTAAGGCTGGGTACTAGACTTCAGGTCCAGGGAGTCCAGGGTTTAAGGCTGGGTACTAGACTCCAGGTCCAGGGAGTCCAAGGTTTCAGGCTGGAGACTAGTCCTCAGGTCCAGGGAGTCCAGGGTTTAAGGCTGGGTACTAGACTTCAGGTCCAGGGAGTCCAGGGTTTCAGGCTGGAGACTAGTCCTCAGGTCCAGGGAGTCCAGGGTTTAAGGCTGGGTACTAGACTTCAGGTCCAGGGAGTCCAAGGTTTCAGGCTGGAGACTAGTCCTCAGGTCCAGGGAGTCCAGGGTTTAAGGCTGGGTACTAGACTTCAGGTCCAGGGAGTCCAGGGTTTCAGGCTGGAGACTAGTCCTCAGGTCCAGGGAGTCCAGGGTTTCAGGCTGGAGACTAGTCCTCAGGTCCAGGGAGTTCAGGGTTTAAGGCTGTGGACTAGTCCTCAGGTCCAGGGAGTCCAGGGTTTAAGGCTGGGGACTAGTCCTCGGGTCCAGGGAGTCCAGGGTTTAAGGCTGGGGACTAGTCCTCAGGTCCAGGGAGTCCAGGGTTTCAGGCTGGGGACTAGTCCTCGGGTCCAGGGAGTCCAGGGTTTAAGGCTGGGGACTAGTCCTCAGGTCCAGGGAGTCCAGGGTTTCAGGCTGGAGACTAGTCCTCAGGTCCAGGGAGTCCAGGGTTTAAGGCTGGAGACTAGTCCTCAGGTCCAGGGAGTCCAGGGTTTAAGGCTGGAGACTAGTCCTCAGGTCCAGGGAGTCCAGGGTTTAAGGCTGGGGACTAGTCCTCAGGTCCAGGGAGTCCAGGGTTTAAGGCTGGGGTCTAGTCCTCAGGTCCAGGGAGTCCAGGGTCTGGAGTCCCACCAGTGCTTTCTTGGAACAGACAGAGGGACAACAGTTGAACAGCACAGACCACATAAGCCACACAAACCAAAAATACATTATAAAGAAGGATAAATGAATCACATTTTTAATCTCTTACTTGCTCAACTTAATAGCCTGGGTTATTATTTGATATTTTACAGTAAATACAATTAGCCTTTGTGTGAAACTATCACATTTTATATTCTAAATGTTTTATAATTTCACACATAAATGGGTCCAGAGCATAAGTCCCGCCCCCGGACAAACTCTGACAAAAACAATGACTCATAATCCAAACACTGATGTAAGCATTGAGCCAAATGGACCGAGAAAATGAAGTCTTTTTAGTTATCTATGCACTATTTCACTATTGCACTTCTGGGTGGACGCTGAAATACATTTTGTTTCATTGTTCTGACATTTTAATGAAATTAAAGTTTCAATCTAATCTAATATTATTATTTGTTTGTAATGAAACAACAATCCATAGCAGTGTCTTTGGAGAGAGTCACCTCCAGTCTCTCTCCCTAAAACCCTCAAACCAGGTCAGAAATCTAGGGGTAGTACTGGACTCAGACTTAAATTTTAACTGCCACATTAAATCAGTAACATCAGCAGCATTTTCAGGATCAAAACCATAGTGTCTAAAGCAGAGTTGGAGATTCTTGACCATGCATTTGTCTCCAGTGACTACTTTAAAAACTGCTCACAGGTCTCTCCAAACGCCCACAGTCAGCACTAAACATGGGGAGACTGCATTTCAGATTCATGCTGCTAAAATCTGGAACAATCTTCCTGAAAATGTGAGACTGGCTTCTTCTCTGACAATGTTTAAATCCGGGTTAAGTACAGTTCTGTTTAGCTGTGCATACAACTCAGGGATTTGACATTTGTATCTATTTTATCATGTAATTGTTAATGGTATCTTGCTAATGCTAGCTCGTTTTGTTCCGCACTTTGAGTTGCCTCGTGCATGAATTGCGCTATACAGATAAACTTGCCTTGCCTTGATATGCGTTGCAGAGTTTGACCCCGCCCCTCCCACTCGCCTGTGTGAATTAATTGCAGTCTGACAGTGACAATTGCCTTGAATAAAGCACGTTTGTTTGGCCGACTGCTCCATCAGCGTAGCTTTTGTCCTCATCGCCATTGTCGCTCCGCACAGATCCACCAAACTCTTATTGTGTTGTTATTGTGCCAAGTTTTTTTTCGTCCATCTCACTTGCTCTTATAACAATAATTAGTTTTGTCATTCTCACACTGGTGCCATTGTACACACGTTAATAGCAAAGGCAGAGTAAGGAGAGGGATGAGGAGAACAAGCAGAGTCTGTGTGTGTGTGTGTGTGTGTGTGTGTGTGTGTGTGTGTGTGTGTGTGTGTGTGTGTGTGTGTGTGTGTGTGTGTGTGTGTGTGTGTGTGAGTTCTGCTGTAGTTTGGTGAAATGTTGACCATTCCCTTCATACCACACTGACAAAAGTTACATCTTGGTTAGATTTATTCATTAAAAATAACCTTTGTTTGCGTGAATGTAGTTTTTCATGTTAAGATTGTTAAGATTATTTTTACTATAAGATACTTCATATTCTAATTACAGAAAATTGTCCAAGCAGTGAGTTTTTCATACTTTTAAACCCCCTGTTTTATTTTTTTATTTAGTTTTATTCTCCATCTGAAGCTTCTTTGAGAGTGTCATTATTCATTCACACAAACACGGTGGTGATAAACTACTACTGTAGCCACAGCTGCCCTAGGGCACACTGACAGAGGCAACCAGTCTGTGCCATCGGCCCCTCCCACCACCACCAACCATTCACACACACACCAGACTCATTCTAGGCAATGGGGGTGAAGTGTCTTGCCTAAGGACACACCGGCAGTTTGGCACTTTACAGCCGCAGCCGCCCCACTGTGGCACCTGGTGTTCCCAGAGGTTAAGTGTCTTGCCCAAGGACACAACGACTTCAGACAGTGGGAGTCAATGGGATGGCATGGATAAATAAATGAAGAAATACAGATTCACATTGTAAATCCGAATACAGAAAGTAAATGGACTCACAAATGTCCCAGAGTTTCACATGTGTAAAGGTAAAATACTATTATTTTAAAAAGAAAATCAATCGCTCCCCTGTTGCTAAGAAGGAAGAACGTGCAAACGACAAATATGGACGTCAAAAATGCATAGTTTCATTTCATTTTTCTTTCTTATCCATTTCTGGGTCAGGGGGGTGGCCTTCAGAGCTGCCACCCAATTCACAAAGCACCAGTCCCTTCAGTTATTGAAAGATGAATCCGTTTACAGCCGTAGTTTCACCAACATGACTGATATATGTACAAATGTAGCGTCAAATCGGTGCAGATGTGAGTATAGCATTTTAGAAGCATCATCAAAATAGCAGTAAATAGCAGCAGAACATGTTTTGGTCACATTTCTACCAATGTGTGTCCGCTGTGCAACTGCGAGGGGTTTTGTTCCCGGTCTATTCAGCTTGATTTTGCTTACAAGACGTGGAAATCACCCGGGACTCATTTAAATTTGTTTTTCTGCTTCGGCTGACGCTGACAG